TTAAAAAAAAAAAGAAACCTTATTTTACCACTCCTCATCATTCAGTTGCAATAGCCAAAAGAAATCACTACCAACTCCTATAGATTTTCCTTTGATGTGTTTTGTCATATTTCTGTGTAAAACACATGTTACATTTATCTATCTTAGACAATTTTCATTGGTTTCGTATTTGGAAAAAAGGAAATGTTTACACATATACACACAGCTTCCATTTTCCTCTCTCTCCCATTGCCCAAAAAAGTAACACTATAAAGCTTGGTAAAATAAATATTCTGTATTTATTTTATTGTAACTATAAGTACAGGAACTCTGATTTGGTTTTTTTACTATTCAGTCACTCCATATGCTTTATTCTAAAACATTTAATTTTCCCTGTAGTTAACACTTGCTTGTTTCCTTACTTGCTTAATTCTCCATGACCTTATCACTATTTCATAGCAAATTCTTGCAATTATTTATATATGCATATATTAATTCTCTACCACCTCCCACATGTTTTAGGATCTTCTTACTCTAAACTGGCTGCTCTCAAGCCTTGCTTCTTCCTTCACGTCTCTTCTGTGTTGCTTCCTGTTTCCAAGTTTTCTTTTTTTTTTTTTTCCTTTGTTCTCACAGAGTAAGGAGTTTCTAGAACTTTCTCAGCGTAAGAGACCAGATAATGAGCTAGCCTACTGGTACACTGCAAGTTTCAGGGAAAAGCCAACACAGCTGAGATCTGCTTGTCTATCTGGTCACATGCCACAGATAATAGGAGGCAAATGAGTCGTGTTATTTGCTTCCTCACATATCTAAGTGAATAAAAGCAAGGTGAAATGCTCAGGGCTCTCTGTCCACTAGGAGCAAAATACCCCTGGCCTCTTCATTCTCAACTCACTGTCTTCTTGTCTTTCATCCTCCTTCCTACACACACACTCCAGTCATGGACAAACTCATAGTCTGATTTCCTACAAGTGGCACCTGAATAGGGACTTGACCCAGGAAAGTCTGTCCAGGCAAAAGATGTAACTGAGGACAGGAAGTTCCACAGTGAAATAGAGCTGAGCAGCCCATCAAAGAAAAAAAAAAAAAAAAGAACATGGAGAACTGTCTTAGCCAAGGTAATGGGCAAAACAAAATAAGGTGAGTGTGTATGGAAAAACATTATCAGCCAGGGCAATGGGGCAGAATTCATCAACTGAAGTACAGCAGCATTATACCCCTTTATTGGTAATTCTGTTGTGGCAGTCTAGTGCTCAAGTTAATACCCAGTTGCTTTCTCATATTTTACAACATGTTATCACATAATCTTTGATTTCCTCAGTCAGGTGCATGTAATGTAGAAAGTTGGATTTGAGAGAAGGTTTGGAGTATGGCCAAGGCTCTGTTACATACCCTGAAACTTTCTTCCCATGGAACTTAGTCCATGAAGTTCCTTATCCTTTAACTATAGGAGAACATCTAGTGCACCCTTGAGAGAATATAAAATATTGGTGAAGAGCCCTGGTACCCTTCTTTCCTTCCTTCCCTTCCATTTGTGGTCAACACAGACATAGTGTCTCAGACAAGCTGTGCTTAATGGTAGCCCTTTGAGACATGCACATTTCTAATTTATAATCATCCCAGTCCTAACAATTCACAACAAAATGTGCATGAACATAATCGTTTGTAGTATAAATTGCTTACAGAATAAAAATGCAGTGTCATAAACAATGGTGTTGTAGTACCTTTCATGTTGGGCTTATTAGA